TTAAAGTCTACCGAGTTTTCCAGAGGTGAAGCCGCACGTACAAGAGAGATAAAAAATCAAGAAAAAACACACTTCTATGATATTGTCAATTAGTGGGAAATTGACGAGATTTGCTTAAGAAAATAACTAAACGCCCATCCACCCTTGTAACACGGTTGAAACGACTTTGAAAATATTTAACAGTCGCGAAGCCATAAAACACGCAGATATAAAAAGAAAGTAATTATTCCAGATTACTGAACTACATCGTGAGCTGCATAGGGTTCTTTGTATCATGTATTATGATGGTATTGGAAGATGCTTAGGGGGCAGTTATAGATGTGTTACGATTATTTACTCAGACTTTCCATAGTAACGGTAGTAACAATACAATTATACAATCACTCCAGCTTAAATCTGCTTGCTCCAAAAAAGTGGTATGGTATCCATCTTCATCTCTAGCTGAGCTACAAGTTACATATAAAGAATTATTTTTCGACCACTTTTCAAAAATTTCAAACAGTGAGGAGCCCTTAAACTGGTAAAAAATTGATTTCGTTTCTCTTCCTTTTTTGTTTGGCTTTGTTTTGTTTTTTTTTTTCTCATACTCACAGAGGGCTGAACCTTTTGTTTAAGATTGCGTTTGCTCTAGTTTTTATCAAAGAAGTTTCTTTTACCATCTTACACTATATGTTTTATTTTCACAAACTTCTAGACGTTTATGTTCCAATGTCAAAGCTGACACCATGGGGTTAAAGCAAACAATGATAATCACTATGGGGTCTCACGGCTGTTTTGTAATATAGAAACAAGAAGATTAAAAAGCTTTAGTTCAATATCCCGGGATAGCAGCGCTGAGTCATCCTTAATAGCTAATTCGTCACTGTTATGTCTACCTAGCTATAATTAATGTCGAACAAAACAAACAGTTTATTCACCCGAAAAGAAAAGCTTACAACGAGGTTAATATATGGCGACGCTTAAAACTATCTTCTCCTTTTTGGTTGAATCATGATATAAAAAATACGTGAAATGAGTTGGTCAAGGAAAGAAGATGTGAACTGTTTCCAACAACATCCGAATGATCTCACAAAGATCCGCCCCTGTAAATAAAGACGGTGGCTAATTATTAACTGAGAGTTTGTTCGTGATGTCATTTCATTCCCTCTAAACATCAATCCAGTTCAATTTAGCCGTAAAACAAAACAACGCCTCGCTTGAATAAAATATCAACTGTTTCCAATGGTATCCCACTGATCCAACAAAGATGAAACCCTGTAAAGAAAGAAAATGACTAACTATCTGTCAAGAGTTTGTACTTGGTGTTACTTAATCATTTAGTTGACATGGTACGACATTTCGAGCTCAAAGTCTACCGAGTTTTCTAGAGGTGAAGCCGCACTAAAGAGATAAAAAATGAAATAAAAAACACACCTCTGTGATATTGTCAAATAGTGGAAATTGACGAGATTTGTTTACAGAAAACATCTAAACGCTTATCTACCCTTGTAACATAATTGAAACGACTTTGAAAAATATTTACCAGTCGAGAAGCCATAAAACACGCAGGTATAAAAAGAAATTAACTGTAACCGATTACTGAACTGCATCGTGAGCTGCATAGGGTTCTTTGTATCATGTATCATGATAGTATTGGAAGATGCTTAGAGGCCAGTTATAGATGTGCTACGATTATTTATTCAGACTTTCCATAGTTACTGTAGTAACAATACAATTATGTAATCACTCTTAAATCTAGCTTTTAGAGCCTGCTCCAAAAAGTGGTATGGTAACCATCTTCACCTTTAGCTGAGCTACAAGTTACATATAAAAGTTTATTTTTCGATCACTTTTAAAAGATTCCAAACAGTGAGAAATCCTCTTACGCTGGTAAGAAATTGGTTGCGTTTCTCCTCCTTTTTTTTTTTCCACATAGTTACAGAGGGTTGAACTTCTTGTTTCAAAGGTGAGCTTGCTCTGGTTCTTATCGAACAGGTTTCTTTCATTATTTCACTCTACATGTTTTATTTTCACAAACTTCTAGACGTTTATGTTCCAATACCAAAGCTGACACCATGGGGTTAAAACAAACAATGATAATCATTATGGGGTCTCACGGCTGTTTTGTAATATAGAAACAAGAAGATTAAACAACTTTAGTTCAATATCCCAGGATGACAGCACCAAGTCAGCCTTAATAGCTAATTCTTCACTGTTATGTCTACCCAGTTGTAATTCATGTCGAACAAAACAAACAGTTAAGTCGCCCTAATAGATAAGTTTACAACGAGAATAATATATGGCGAGGTTGAGACCTATCTCCTCCTTTTCAGTTGAAGCATGATACAAAAAATGCGAGAAATGAGTTGGTCAGGGACCTTGATCAAGATTCCCCGTGCTAGCAACCTGATCATCAAGTGAAACTCGACGGTGTCTACCTCATCTCTTTACACCCTAATTGTGATCAGCATCTAATTACTCCTCACAGTTATATTGCTGAATCGTTTATTAATGTAAAGAGAATAAAGGAAATGACCACCAACCTAAGAAGCTTTGATTGTTAAATAAGTTCTCCTTGTCAGTATTTAAGGAAAAGTAAAGAGAAGAATTTGGAGAATGTGGATACTGATCAAAGGATGGCTAACTATTTACCAAAAGTTTGTCCGTGATGTTTTTTCATTCCATGTAAACATTATTTAATTCAGCTTCAGCTGGCCGTAAAACACAACTACGCCCAGTTTAAAGAAAGATATTAACTGTTTCTATCGAACCAACAAAGATGCACCCCTGTAAAGAAAAACTGTGGCTAATTACTTTCCTGATGTTATTTCAATTCTTTTAATCATCAATTCAGCCGTAAAACAAAACAACCCCTACTTTGAAAAAATATTAACTGTTTCCAATAACATCCCACTCATCCAACATAAGGGAAAGGAGAGACAATGGCTAATCACCTGTTAGTTGGTTGTCCAAAGTAATATATATAATATAATAGAATTTCCCCTCAACATTTATGTAGCCCCAGTTGGCCGTAAAACACAACAATGCCCAGTTTGAAAGATGTGAACTGTTTCTAATAACATCCGAATGATCCAACAAAGATGCACCCTGTAAAGAAGAGAGGTGGCTACCTATTTACCAAGAGTTTTTCCGTGATGTCATTTCATTCCCTCCAAACATCAATTCAGCTCCATTTAGCCGTAAAACAAAACAAAGCCTCCCTTGAATAAAATATTAACCGTTTCCAAAGGCATCCCACCGATTAAACAAAGATGCACCCCTGTAACGAAAGGAAATGACTAACTATCTGTCAAAAGTTTGACCTTGGTGTTATTAATTCCCTCTAAAAACAATTTCAGCTCCATTTAGCCGTAAAACACAATAACGTCTCGTTTAAAAAATTATAAACTGTTTCCCATAACATCCCATTGATCCGACAAAAATGCACCTGTGAGGAAAGACATTAGTATCGGCTAACATCCCTTCAGTTTTAGTTGGCTGTAAAACGCAATGAAGTCTAGTTTCCAATAACATACTACTGTTCAGACAACGATATACCCCTTCGAGGAAAGACAGTGGCTAACTATCTGCTAGGTGGTTATTCGTGAAATAATATAACTCCTTCCAAGAGAATATTGCTCTCTCTTAACATCCCGTCAGTTTCAGTTGGCAGTCGGCAACCTACTATTAGCGATAATACTTCACACCCTAAAAAAGGACTAAACGGAGTCAGTTAAAGAAACAACGTGTACTTCTAACTAGGTGAGTGTATCCTGTTTCCATAGTTCGTTATAATAAATCACTTTTTTCAAATGAAAACTAAAAGAAGTATTTTCCCGTCACCAAAATTTTAAATGATGAAATTGTTTGGATCACTAAAGAGATGAATCTGACGATGTAAAGAAGGATTTTAAAATGAACTACTACTGAAATAATTGTTTGTTACGAGGATATTCTTTGATCGAGGGAAAGGTTATTTGATTCATCTTTTTTCCTTCTTAAAATCATATAAAAGCTGTCAAAATATATATATTTTTACACAGTTCCTCATCTTCTCCCGCAAACTGATCGCCATCAAGAAAGACTACAAAACTGAGAAAATAGAAGGGCGGATTTTAAAGCGAAAAGAATTGTATTTTCTACGATTACCCAGATGGGAATTTTCTCCAAAATAATATTGGACAGGGTCTTTTTTTTTCTTCTTCTTTTTTTTTTTAATTTCTATGCTGTAAGTCTTTCCTGGCTTAATGTTTTGTAAGAGATTGTCTCTCGCAAGATTATTAAGTACGTTTTTATTTAGATTTTTTTTGTCAGCATTATTACAATTTTTTTTTACTTCACAAGCCCTGCTATCCTCCCTCTAGATTTTCAAACACTCCCCCTAGTTAAATCAAACATTTTCTCCATGAAAACACTCGTCTTCTTCTTCGCAGGCATCACAGATCTGATGCGCTTCATATGGCTTCTTCATATGGCGGGTCGGCAGGCTTTGTTTTTTACCACGCTGTTTTTTATTTCTTTCGTGATTCGTGAAATTGCCAGTCAGCAGTGTCACGGAATATACTCCATTCATCAAATGATGCTTAAGGGCCATACCTATAAGACGTTCAAGACTACACCAGGTACACCGGAATGCAGAGACATTTGTCTCGCTGATGAAAGATGTCAAAGCTTTAATGTCGTCATGTTCATTGCAATATGTGAGTTAAACAACCGGACTAAAGAGGCCAGACCAGAGGACTTTGTCAAGGACGAGTACAGATATTACATGGCGAAAGGTCCAAAACGAGGTAATAGAACTTGCAAAAATAAAATAGCAGGGTGCTTACGTTTATGGATTTTGCATTACTAGCTGGTGATTTTTCTAACTTTTATTCAGCCAAAGAGAAATATTTCCATTTCAGTTCCCTTGGGATCAATCCGTGGGCTGCCTGCTGAATCGTGCAAGGAAATCAAGGCGAGTGAAGGAGGACAAGCAGTTAGCGGTAATTATTGGCTGGATTCTACAAGATCTGGGAACTCTATTTTAGCTCGTTGCGACATGAGGACAAAAGGTTAGAACAAAAAATATCTCATGCCTATTTGCCTTCGTGCTAATGAAAGGCCTTCTCTTAATCAGTTTTCTTTTTAACTAGTTGCAGACTATTGTGTCAAGCACCAATGCCAGAACGATGCAAAGTGTGTGAACCGTGAAACCAACTACTCGTGCGCGTGTAACTCATCTGGTTGGACAGGAAAACATTGTGAAAATGGTATTTCTTTTGTTGAAAAGTTTCTACTAAAGTTCATGCTAAACAAATTCGATGAAGGAACGACATTAAATTAACATATGCTTATCCATAGATATCAATGAATGTCAGGAAGGCCTGCATGGTTGTCATGTAAATGCCATTTGTAAGAACGCTGAGGGCTCTTACAACTGTACATGCAAACTGGGATTTATTGGAGACGGAAGAAACAGTTGCAAAGGTAAGGATAGGGACAGATATTACATGGATACATGTCGAAAGGTCCACAACGAGGTGGTAAAACTTGCGAAGGTTAAATAGTAGTAACTCACTAAAGAGGTGAGAGAGAGGACATTCAATTTCTAGTTTAGTCCTCTAATGAGAATGTAAGTCTAAAATTCACATAAAAACGTTGCTCAGCATTGTGATACATATTTGATAGAGAAAAGCTGTTATACTACTTATTTAAACGCATTAATGTTGCGAAAATAAATGGTATGGGTCACCTGACGTTCATGGATTCTACGCTGCTTGTTAGTAATGTTTATTATTCTTATCCTTTTCAACCATCTATCCAACAATAAACACAGGTAAAGACAAGCCTTACCGTTTATTTCATTAATCTTATTTAGGATGTGGGCCTGTTGGTGTGACAGACGTTAATACAGTCGCAGACGACAGAATAACAGCGACCGATTATCACAATAAAAATTACTATCCATACTACGGCCGACTAAACGAAATCAGGGGACACGGAGGGTGGTGTCCTCAGAATAAATATGACAGAACAGGCTATCTTCAAGTTGATATGGGCAAAGTGCGTTCTATTTGTGGTGTGGCCACACAAGGACAAAAGAGAGCCGCTGGATGGACCACCAGCTACAAACTACAATTATCTACAAACGGTACTACTTGGAACATTTACAAGGAAACAAATATTGAAAGGGTATGGAGAGAACTGAAATTGACATTTTCAGCAATTAACAAATAATTTTAAGTCAGTGCAAATGATTAGCCAACAGAAATACACTTAGATGCTGAATTTGGATGCTTATCTCCCCTGGCTACTGCAGCAGAGAATGTCGTCGGAGATGATAAGCTTGTAGAATAACGGGTTTGCTTGAAAATTCTGAAAGGCATCTGATGCGTCTTTTATAAAATGGTTCAAAAGACCCAGGAAGAAGTAGTTTGTCTATTCTTGCGTGTATTGCGTGAGGTCGAAGAGATTTAGAAATTAGTCGAGCATTGTACTGCTGAGACTTTTCCATCCAGGATATATTAACTAAAAACATTTCTCATGACGTAGTTTTCCAGATTTCGTGAGACAGGAAGTCTCCGTTCCGTCTCTCTTTCTGTCCCTAACTTTGTTTTTGTCATGGGTTCATTTGATTTTCTTTTGTTTTTGTTTATTTTGCTTTCGCAAATCAAGATGGTAACATAATATGTGCACGCTGCAAACAAAAGCTTAAATATCAGCAACATTTACTTTTGGGAAAAGACTCAACAACAGCCTTCTTGCGGCTGAATAAAGGAAAATATCATATAACCTTGACCATCTACTTCTGGCTATCGGAGGATGAGTAGTAAAAACGTCCATAATATAAAAAAAAAAGGTGAAAAAAGTGACAGAAAAACGAACTCCGTTTAGAAAGCCCGGGCCGCAATGCAATAGAAAACAAAATTGCGTTAAAGATGTGAGCAGTTAAGACCTGTTCAAATGCCCCCCCGTATCTCCCCCTTCCCCCCTTCTACCACCTCCTTACCAGGTATATAGAATTGGTGCACCATACAAAGTTGTTAAATTTTTTTGTTTCGTTTTTTTTCTCTGGTTTGCTTTTTTCCAGGTGTTCACAGGAAACTCAGATCGGACCAGTGTCGTAAAGCATTCACTAAGAACTGACTTCAAAGCGAGATACGTTCGGTTTTATCCTGTAACATACCATAATTGCCCATGTTTGAGGGTTGAAATATTTGAGCTTAAGTAATGCGTTAAAGGGTTCGTATATGTGTAGTCATTCATCAACACAAAAACAGGAGAAAAGGTATATATACAGATTTGACAATAGGAAATTTAAACATTAGCAAGTAACTGATTAACAAACTAATCATTTCTTAGGGAAGGATCCAGAATTTTTCGTGGGAGTGGGTGCACCACAAAGGAACCACCCACCTGACGTCTCCTCTGACGAACAGAAGAGCTGGTCCTCGAAAATTCAGTGCCAACTTACCATTTTAACCGCTTTAACATTAAGTACCAAGGATCTGTTTTTTTAAGCACTTGCTGACATTAATGGCTGAATCCACCAGAGAGGTCTTCATACCTCTCTGGTATTTGATTTAAAAAAGGAAATAGTGCCAATTTGAATTGTTAGACAGACACGGCTGTAATCTTATCTAATTAAGAAAAAAATTAAAGTTGGAACAAACTACAGTAATTCAACTTCTATGATTTGTGTGTGTGTGTGTGTGTGTGTGTGTTACTACGCCTTTTTTTTCAAATTCCAGTCAAACCACAACAGCTTCAATGGAAAACAACCGGCAAGTTCGATCGTCGATGCAAAACCTGATCGGCGGTCATTGATATTCTGACAAAACCCCTTTCCCCCATCCCCCGTAAGGTAGATTTTTCATTTCCCTAATAGTTAGTAGAATAGGGTCCGCAGTCGTTTCCATCTCACGGTAGCCCTTACGTTGCGCTACTCGTTGCTTCGCTAAGGAAGCAAAATATCACCCCTTTTTCTTTCTTATCACGGGATATGGTAGATTTCCTTAGATTAAAAAAGTGTAAGTTTCGACTAGATTCAAAAGTGTGCGTCTCACGAAACGTTTTGATAAACATTAACCTTAATTCTTGTGATAGCAACTTCTCGACTCTATCGGCAAACCACAAGATTACAGTATAGTTTTGACAGATTAAGGGAATAAGTGATTAAAAGGCAACTACTAAACATTAAGCTTATTATGCTAGATGAAAAAGTCATGGTTTAAACCAAGAGCGTCTTTAAATTCCCTATAATGTACACTAGTGGTGATTGGTTGGTTGAAAGTATCTGAAAAATTTTTGCAGCAAGATTTCAAGGTAGAGCAACATCCTGTAAAATTTCAGCCCACTATAATTGGATATATATGTTTATAAACCCGGCCTCCGATGGAAGCATCTGAAATTTTTCTGGGACAAGATTTCAACATCGAGCAATATCCTGCAGAATTTTTGCTCATTAGAATTGGTTATTTGTTGTTGTTTTTTTTTTAACCACGGCCTTAATAAACTATAGCTTGCACAGCTTTTGGGACAAACATTTAGATTATTGCAACAGGTTGATTATGAATTTATTCGTTGGGCTGTTGTTTCAATTATGTTTTTTTCCAGTTTTTCTCATTACTTAACTCAAACCTTAAAGTTATTAACTAAATATCAGCTGACAATTGCCCATTGAATTTCCTATCGGTTTCCCTACCTCACTAATACATTAGAATTACTATTTACTACGATTTTATTCTCGACAGACACCGGCACCGGGTTATCAGCTAAGCCAAGTTTGAAATAACCTGCGGCAGCGAACAATTAAAAAACGTTCGGTGGAGTATAACAGAGAGTTGTCAAAAAATAATACGAGGCGTAGCTGAACTGGTCTATTTCTCTTTGCTTTATTGCAAGTGTTCCAAGGAAACTCAGATCAATGCAGCATCGTAAAGCATTCACTCAGAAATGAATTCAAAGCCAAATACATTTTGTCACAAACCATGCCTGGCCATGTTTGAGGCTAAGCTTAAAATATTTGTGCTAGAATAATAGGTCTAATCATCCAACAGCACTAAAGGTAACAGGAAATGGTCAGTTTGGTGGTTAAAAAAAAAGTACATGTACAGAGTGCTAAGAATCCGGGAAAACAAGCAGTTAAATTCTACCGAGCAAATGAACAAACGTTTTTAAAGTAAATTTTCAACAGATCAGTAGTTCGTAATGAATTATATGAAAATTTTTTTTTTTCTAAGTGAAATTTTGCATGGATTTCATAAATCTGTTTACGTTATGCCACATAGATGCAAAGGCAATCCAATTGGGTTAACAGAGAAAGTAATTTTGCAAAGAAACGACACATAACAGTAAAATAATGTAAACCAGACGAATAAATAAATGAATTATTAAAATATCACATAATTATCATGACCCGATGAAACATGCGCGTAACTTACTAGTTTACAACACTAAAACTTACAATAATTCCTCAAGCATTTCAACTCGATTTGATTTCCCACCGCTCCGGGTATCAGAAATAACTGTCGTTATTTCTCAGAGGTCGCTACTCATTGTGAAGTACGCTTGCGCACTCGGTATTCTCGGTGTTCGAATTGAAATAAAAGGCATCCCCCCCCAAAAAATCATAAAAAACAAACAAAAATATATTGTTGATATCATTAGAACATTGACTGCAGTCGACTCTCAGTTTAAGCATTTTATCTCTTTACACACCATGTCCGACCTCTCTCAGCACTAAGGACGAAAGAACATTGTCTCTCTTATACAAGTATGAGGGAATTTACTGTTTTTTACCGGAGAAGGACTGTGGGGCTCATTCCTTATGGGGCAGTGGCTGGGTGTTTAATCGATACGTTATTGTTTGAATTTTTCCTGCTGTTTTTAACAACTCGTAGGCATCGATTACGTATCATGAACACAGGAGAACCATAGATTAATTATCATTTTTTGTGTAACGAGCGTAGAATGTAGAAAATCTGCAAGTATCCCATGAAAAAAGCGCACCCTAGGGTCCAATGCTAGCTATTTACGCGAACGGCATAAAGTAATAATGGTTTTCGGTCTGCTCTTAGCAACCATCGTGGAGAAGACTTTTTTTAGTTATTTCTCTGTCAATCAGAGGTGAACTCTGTCATTTGCATTTGCAGTTACCACAATTTACCCAGTTTTTTATTCGTATTTTGGCCGATCTTATTCACAGACGCCAATGGAACTGATTAGGCTGCACCAAGGTTGTTTGTGACAACTCCTTTCACTGTAGTAGTCACGTGACGATTATCACCATTCACGCGATAAGTCACGCGATAAGTCCGATGATTGCCTCGTGATCGCATTTTTTTAGTATGGAGATCAAAATTTTGTTGAGTGGGGAAAGATGGTGGGTCTTACTCGTATTTAGATTTTGTTGGCTGTGGGAATGCTGATGGCAGGTTCACTTAACACCATCACTCTTAAAGCACAGAACAACTGTTCGTAAGTTTCACTAAAGTTGGTGTGTGTGAAGATTTAAAGGCTGATACTGGGTAATCGGCAAACATTTTATACAATTGTCTTTTGTGTGTGTGTTTAATTGCACATTCTTGCTGGGCTGTTGTGATATTGACTTCGTAGGTTCAGTTACGTTGTTGACGCCTCGCTTCAGCGTTGGTTGTGTGCTAGTGAATTCAGTTGT